AACAAGGACACGGACTTGGGGGGTCGGCTGCGGCTCGCTGGCGTTCATGCCCCCGGGCAGGCGCAGCCGCTCCCTAGAGGGACCCAGGTGTCTTGACCCTCCTAGCTGGGGCCTCAGCAGGGCTGGCCTTGCCCAGGCCAGTCCCCTGTGCCAGTGAATCAGTCAGCTTCTGGACAAGGACACGGCTGTTCCTTGCAGGAAGGACACCCCAACACGCGCCCCTCCCAGTAGATGGTGCCCCGTGATTGAGAAGTTTCTCAGCCAGCGAGGCAGACCCTCCCGCTCTCACTCACAGAGTAGGCCTTCCTGCCTCCATGGATGCCCCCCGGCAGGCCCGCCCCTGCTTGGTGGCAGGCAGGGCTGTGGCTCCTGGTGGGGCTGCGCGCTGAAGAACCAGGCCCAAGGGCGCGGTCGCCCTCGACTCCATCCAACGAAAGCTCCATTTTCCATGTGTACGTGGCCTTCAGTCGTGGGAGCGAGTGTGCGTACAAGTGCCAGCCTGGGGGCACCTTCACTTGCCGCCCCTTCACCGGCTCACCAGGACCCTGGGCACACGTGCCTGGTGTGTTTCAGGCCGACCGGGGGCCCACACTAGCCATTCTCACGCCGTCTGCGTCCGCTGGGCCCTGCCTGTGCTCGGGGTCTGCTGGACGCAGTAACCCGGCGCTCGCCACAACGAGCCTCCGCCTGCTTCCACCGCGCTCGGGGTGCGGAGGCCCCAGTGGTCTGCGGACTCAGACAGGCAGAGGAGGGGCTGGCAGGGGCCCAGCGTGGCACCTCCCCTTCACAATGGCTCACACCCTCACCGCTGGTACCCGGCGTGTCCCTGACTCCAGCCCACAGGGACACGGCTCACCAGGGTTCTGGTGACACTTAGAGCCCAAGCCCCTCCCTGCCTCAGCCCTGTGGGAACAGCTGGGCAGGTATAGAGCACCCCGGAGGAGAGGGTCAGAGCCACACTGTCCGACTGTTGTCCCCACGCCTGTGCCAACTCGGGGCGCACCCAGTCCCCACGCTGAGGCTGCAGCTTTCATGCCGCTGCCGAACACATGGGAAACAGGGAAGGAAGTCCTGGGGTAGGGCTTGACTGTCCCGCTGCAGAGGGTGACGCTGGCGGGGTCGCTCGGCTAGAAGCCGGGTCAGTGTGTGGCGGGCAGCCCGGCCCGCGTCTGCTCAGCTGCGTCCTGGGACACCACGTGCCCCAAGGAGATGAGAACAAGGGGAAGGTCGGTGGTTCAGGGCAGCCTGGGAGCCGAGGAGGAGTCACAGGACTGGCCAGAGTCTGGGGACAGCACCTCAGGGAGGACGTGCCGACCGACCTGTGGTCCCGTCAGACTTCGCTGTTGCCCTGCGCAGACCCCAAACGCCCGGGCCCCTGGGACCGCACCCCAGCAAGTGCCGGCAGGACTCTGCACCTGCCAGGCTGGCTCTCAGTGCCAGCACAGGAACCAAGCCCACACCAAGTGGTGTCCCCAATCTGTCCCAGCAGGCCAGTGGTGGTTACCGTGGACACGCGCCTGGTGTCAACCATTCCCTGTCCCAGGGACACCCTTTCCTGGCCTCAAATGAGAGCTGTGGTCCAAACCCAGACCAACTCCACAGCGGGGCCAGCTCTGCTGTTTCGTGTTGTGGCGGGGACTAAAGGACCCTCGGGGTGGCTGCACCTGTCACCCTTCGCTGCATCTGAATGCCACCTGTCTACTTGACACTTGGGAATTTGTTTTCCTGCAGCTTTCTCAGTTTTACACTGGGGACAGGTCCCGGTCGACTATCCCTAATCCCAAATCTTCAATGCTCCAAAATCTAAACCCTCCAGTGCCCACATGGTGCTGTGAGCAGAAAGTCCCATACGTGGCTTCCGTGACAAGCCAGACGCGGAATGTCCTCGGGCTGTGATGGCCTCGTCTCACGTGCAGATGGGGCATTGGCACACACCCACAGGGACTCCTGGTCCCGAGCATCCCGGCAGGGCAGCCTCCTTGCTGCTGTAAGGGGTGACACCGAGTCTGGGGCTCAGGACAATGGCTTAGTGCTGGACGGTTCTGCACGGCTGTGGGCTGCAGTCCACGAGACCCAGGAGAGCCAGTGCCCTGCCTGCCTCACTGCCCGGCCGGTCCCTGCACCCTAGCCCACAGCCCGGCCTCCCTCCACATCAGCCTTGGGAGGCACTGGGCCCATTATAAGCCCGGCCCTCACCTGCCATCCTCCCTACAGAGGGAACAGGGACCCTCAGGCCATGCTGTCTCCGAGGGCCCCGTGCACCCACCAGTCCTCCCTGGACCAAGGCTGTGACCTGGCTCGCCCTCCCCGGGCGCCCTGCTGGCTTCCAGTGGATCTCGGAAGGAGAAACCCACTTACTGCCTTTTAATTACAAACGCCGTCGCATCTGTGCGGAAGGGCATCCTAAGCCTCAGAGACCAAGTGTGAAGTTAAAGGAGTTAGCAACCCGCACGATGCCATGAGTGTGCCTCTGCGCCTCAGGGGTGCCCTGGGAGGCGAGTGCACAGGGGCCAGCCTTCCCACGCCATCTTTCCCAGACCCCGGTCAGCCCAAGCCTCCGGCGGGCCAGGCTTCTCAGGGGCCCACGTGCCTCTGGTGGGAGCCGGAGCGCACCCCAGCCCTGGGCAGGCTTCCCGCGGACCCTCCCTCCGGGCGGCCATGGCCTCCCCAGCTGTCCCGGCTCCCCGGTGCAGGTGCCTGACGTCCCCACACGTCTCCTCACATGGTTTATGGGCCTTCGGCGCCTGTTCCCGGGGTGGGGCCTGGAAACTTCTGCCGTGGCCCGAGTGCGAGGGGGGTCCCAGGGCCCAGAGGCCTTCGTGCGCGCTGACCTGGCCACGGCGGGCCCTGGCTCCTGCGCTCCGGGCGCAGGGGACACGCACAAGCTTACCCACGTGTGCCCTGGGGGGTGCTGCCCTGGTGCCCCAGGGAACGCGACGGTCACATCTGCTCTGTGCACGCCACTTGCTGGCATCATGAGTATCCCCTCCGGGTGCTGGTCGACCCGGCCCAGGGCGGCCACCCTGTGGTCCCCACGCCTCGGCGGCCGCACAAGCCCTAACAAGAATGAGCACAGGCACGAGGCAAAGGGCGTCTGTATTGGCGCGGGGGGCGGGGACGGGACAAGAAGGCCCCGCGACCTGCACGGGGCTACGGCGGCTCCCAGGCTTGTTGGTCAGCCATGCTGGCGCGGTGCAAGGGCAGGGGCCTCCCGAGTCCGCGTCGCTCCACTGCAGGAGCAGAGCCAGCAGAGCGTGTCCCTGCCAGCGTCAGCGCTCACACGGGCACACCCGCGGCCGCTCGGAGGAAGGGGCTGGGCCCGGGGCCAGAGGTGGGCACCCCAGTCCGGCCCAGGCAGCCCCCTAGCTCACTCTGGTCCTGCCCTGAGAACCGCAGGCGAGGGAGTCATGGCGGCTCCGAGAGGGCAGGGCTGGGGTCAGCACCCTGGACACTGTGGACCAGGTAGGATGCCTGTGAGCAGACGCGGAAGGCGCCTGGGCCGCAGAGCCTCTGCCTGTCCCGGCTTCCGGACCAGCAAGATACGGGCATCTGAGCAAAGCCCGCGGGAGGGACTGGCGCGTGGCTCAGA